TTGAATGTTTTATTGCATTCATAAAGGACTAACTTAGATTTTGATATGTAACATTTGAATACCCCCCCCCATATATGAGTCCCCCCGTCTATATGCCCTACAAAAAACTCTTAAGAACGAATATGAGCCCATCCTCGTTCCCAGTGTCTCACCTCCGCTCACCCCCTGCTCCAGAGAGACGTTACAAATTTTACAACTGTATGTTATACAGATGGTACATTACTGCTATCAATATAATCTAAGAATCTGTTTGAAATGTAACACTGCTTGTAGTCTTGCTACTCCACTCTCTTGTTGTTCCTGATAGTTGTATTTATTCTCATAAATTAAGTTATGTTATTGTATATTTATACAGTATTTGTAAAATTGAGCCCACAGTAATTGGTTTTTATACTGTTGTGATGACACTGCCACTCATTTATGTGATAAAGATATCATAAATTCATATCATATCTCAAAAATTAGGTGGGCACCCATTTATAGAAAATCATGAATAGAAACAAAAATCCTAAATCATGCCTACTAAAAACTTCAAATTCCTATCAACATAGCATGAGGTTTTTTTGTTGTTTTTTTTTAAGAATTTTTAGATGATTCTTCAGTCTTACTTGTTTTAATGTACACTTTTGTAAGTTTTGAAACAAACAGACAACTTACAAAAGTGTACATAGCACGAGGTTGTTTCAGATAAATATATATTACAGAAAATCTATTTTTCCTATATTACAAATTTAATTTAAGTATGTTTTTGTCATTGAGCAAGGATTGAGAAATAATGCAGGAAATATTTAATGCTTGCATATTTTCTTTGCCTTGAATGAGTCGTTCCAGAATAGATCCATACTCCCCCCACAGAGGAAATTTCTGCCGTCCGGAGGGGGAGGGGACAAAAAATTGTTTCTGATAATAGTAAATGTATTAGGGCATCCGAAGGGGGTAGGGGGTTAACTTCCTATTTCCTCCGTGGGGAGGGGGGGTATGGATGTTTTCTGGAATGACCCAATACTTCATTGTGCACAGAATGACGAAGACAAATTATGCTATATGTTAAAGAAAGCAATGTTGTCCCAAACGTTGTCTATTGACCTTGTTTACATACAATAAGTTCTATTCAAAGTAACACACCTGATTGGATAATAAAATTAGAAAGCCACTGAAGTGCACAATATTATATCTATTTATACGACTACATCACTGTGCAGCATTAGTGACAAATGGCCACAGACTGTTAAATATCTATTTATACGACTACGTCACTGTGCAGCATTAGTGACAAATGGCCACAGGCTGTTATCCTTCCACCACGAGGGGGGGGGGGGACAGTCTATAGAAAATCATAAATAAAAACAATCCTAAATCATGCCTACTAAAAACTTATTCAACCCTAACAACCCAACACAGCATGTAGTTGTATAAGAACTCTATTATTTTCTAGATCAAAAAATTTACAATCTATATATTATACATTACGTATTAGATATAATCATATAAACTAGTTGGGGCATTTATAGAAAATCATAAATGAAAATAAAACAAAAATCCTAAATCATGCCTACTAAAAACTTATTCAAATTCCTATAAACATAGCATGTAGTTGTAAGAAGCATGTTTCGTGATATATTTATGCTGCAATTTTTGCATGTTTTAAATTAAACATGCATCATTTTTACAGATTTCAGTCCGCCATATGTTTTAGATTGTTACACTGCACAATATTGTTTCCACTTAATTAGGCAGCCTTACTTTGTTCCTATTCATAGGGAACCCCCATTTTATCACTATTATAAATATCCACTAACCTTACAACATCATCCTTCTTTAGTAATTAATCGTACCAATTTATATAAGATATTTGCTCAAGATATCCCTCGTCATATTGCACATTTGCCCAAGATATCCACCAAGAAAATGCACACGGTGTAGGTTTGCCAGCGACACATCGTCATCCATCCATTACAATGCCTGATGTCTCCTTGCAACAACCAGGACGAGCAGAAAAGAATGCATTCACTAAAATGACAAATTTTATAACATATTTAGCTTCAAAATCCCTATGCTTTATGCACTCATCTCTCTACTAAATTATTTAAACTAAATTTCACAAAACATTAATTTAAGGTATAATTCAATATTTTATCCCAGAACAAACATCAAACGCAAAGCAACTTGCAACGGCAAGATATAGAGCTGCAACATGCCCTAAACTTGAATATAATTTACTCTCTGGGATGCCAATTTCTGTCTTAGCATAAAAATACAGACTTCTGATTGGTGTGGGTAAAAGAATCTCCCTGAATGGAGAATAGATTGAATGCAGCATACAAAATTATTATTCCAAATGTATAATTTCTATGCCAAAAAGATTTATATTGGCAAATATAAAATGACCAAAACATTTGAGTCAAATACCACAGGCAAGAATCAAGGTCTAGCCAGCTGAGCCACAGATTAAGTGAAGACAGATGTATAACTTCAGTAAAAAAGTTGTCCCACAATAAGTTCTTTGTATGTTTGCATGGCGATAAAACATATAATAGTTTTGTTTGTGGAAACACCACGTAAATTTATTACTGCCAAGCTTTCGATCTGTAAGCCCGGATCTTCATCAGTGCTAATAATATGTGAGCCAACAGATCAAGACATTTTTTTGTATATAAAAAGGGCGTGTGAATTAAACAAGTCACATATTAGCACTGATGAAGATCCGGGCTTACGGATCGAAAGCTTTGCAGTAATAAATTTATGTGGTGTTTCCACAAACAAAACTATTTTTGGCTAAATTTTCCAGAAAATTGGCTATTCCATTTAATATCCATAATCTCCCTTTTTAACTCCGGAATTCCTCATGGGTAAACAAATTCTCCTGTGGAATTCTTCAGGGGTTGGTTATTTCAAATGCAATTCCTTTAGGGGTCAGATGTAAAAATTGTAATTCTTCAGGGGTAACAGGAATTCTTCAGGGGATCTCTTTTATGTCAGGAATTCTTCAGAGATATGGTAAAACCATTGTCCTTGATAGGGGGGTTACGTCTTTTAAATGGAATAGCCCAATTCAAAACAAGCCCCAAAAAATCTTGTAAAACTTTCTGAAAATTGTTGAGAAACATTTCTCTCGTCAAAACTATATTAAACTTTTGACGGATAAAAAACCACCATTGAAGGAAAATTCATTCTTGACATTTCTTGTATGATAGTGCTTATAAATAATTATTAATATCGAACTAATGATTATTAGTTTGATATTAATAATTATTTATAAGCACTATCATACAAGAACTGAAGTATAGCATCCAATTATTACATTTTGTAAAGTAGTAATATAAAACAGTTTTTTGCAACAGCTTTCAGCAATTCAGGCTGGTAGCGTATTTGGCAAAGGCGTCGTGAAAGTTTTCAAACTATTTCGCTCCAGCGTAGTGTGAAAGCGATGGCTTATTGTGACTTTTCTACATTGTTGTCAAATAGCTCCGGCGTGGTGGTGGAACACTTGGCGGCTTCTTGTGAACACAAACACATGGCAGATTTTGGTGGATAATTTGCAGAAATTCACTTCGAAATTCGATCAAGTAAAATTCGGACTGAAATTCAATGTAACTTGCGACCGATTGAGAAGCGTTGCTGTGTTTACTTACATGTTAATGCATTTTTAGTATTACTGCATTCCTTAACCTCGCCCTTAATATGACAGCCATTTCTATTTTCTAGGCACACACCTCGCAAGGAAGCTTTATTGACTATATACTGAAACTAAATATTCTAAATATTGAGTTTAGTTCACATAGCAGTCTCTTAATTCAAGCAACAGTTTAATAACTATTATTTTTAACACTTGAATAATTCAAACTTATACATACAAAAACTGCAAAACTTTACTTTTATATAAATAAAGTGTATAAATTTTCGACTCATTCTCAACATGCAGGATACACTGTTACAGCGAGTTAGTTTTTGGTGGCCATGCATGCAAAAGTGGGCCGCTATTTTGCTTACGAGTTACGTGGACGTATAATTATTGCTGTTACATAAACGTTCCAGTTTTTAAGGGCTATAGCCGATAAAAATTGCATGCTCATTATAATCGCCGATCACATAGCTTTATCACTGTCTAAAACCTTCGGACAATCTTACATCCGCATTTCCTCCCCCCCCCCCTTCGGACATCCTAAGACATTTTTCCTCACTCCCCCTTCGGACAGCATGGGGGTATGGATTTTTTCTGGAACAACCCATTAACCAAAAGTGCCTAAATTTCCCATGAATTTGCCCTTGGTAACTTGTGCGTTTCAACGATCACATTGCTGATTATGCTGAAAAAATAAAAATGGTGGCCGTGTAAACACGTAGTGATAGCTTATACTTGTAAATATTGAAATATTTCGGTTGTTTTTATTGAAATTTTTCAGCATAATCAGCACTATGATACCTTACTTCCCATCATCCCCTGCAGGCATAAACTAAAAGCTGGAATTGCCTATTGAGTGCAATGTAAACAATTTCTAGCACAGCAAGCAGGATAAAATCTCATAAACACAAGCAAAATTCATCCCGCTAACCGGGCTATCTCGTTTAGCGGGCCAGCCCTGCTTCCAGGGTGGAAAGTTTGTTTCTTGTGCGCCAAAGATTTGATCAAGGTTCAGTAACATGCACCAGTGGCTGGACAAAAAACATGTTCACATGCGCCGCCGAGTTGCAATATCAACACTTTTAGAATGAGACAGAACAGATACTAAACATTTGAAATACGGTCAGTCAGTGCTCAATCAAATTCCCTTTATTAAATTACTGAAATACAGACATAAATGGTTGAGAACGTTGTAGTGTGAGCAAGTAAATATTTTTTGTACGCCAGTGCGCCATGCCAGTTCGTTTTCCCATAATTCTGCGCCAAAATGGAGCAAATTTATGAATTTTCCACGCCGAAGATCTTCGGCGCAACCTACAAACTTTCCACCCTGGCGGCATACTTCCATATAAACAGCCCCGTAGAAATGTTTCTTAAAATATTTGTAAATTCTTCCCCCCGACCTTTCTAACTCTCAAATAGTTCATTGCACATTTATTGGTTAAGGAAGGGGTTGGGGTCTGTTTATCCATACCTTATCTTAAATATTCCGACTACAGTAGTCAGTACAAATAGCAAAACCAAACTAGGCCACAGAATAAAGAAGATAGAGCAGAAGCGTAACTCTAGTCGTTTCCCTTATTGTTTTACGTCCACGAAAATTTTAACTCGCTCACGCCAATCCACGCCATCCTGGCTAGTACAGCCGGAAGTTTTTATCAGGTTTTGGTCAGTGAACTCTACATATATATATATATATATATATATATATATATATATATATATATATATATATATATATATATATATATATATATATATATATATATATATATATATATATATATATATATATATATATATATATATATATATATATGCAAACCGTTGCACGGCCAGTATAAATTTGAACGCAATCACGAAAAAAAATTAAAAGCATGGCCAATTCAATGCAATACATTTTAGGAGCAAACTGTTTTGCTCCTAAAATTTACTGCATTGAGTTCGCTGTCGGAAAAAAGTCGAGGAAAACTTCCCCGTGTGGAGAAAAGAATAGGCTTTTTCAAATATATTGTGTCATTCTGGATGCACAAGGAAAGAGATATTCTTGCGAGGAAAATTTCATTTCACAGGTAGGTAAATTGACTTGCAACTGTGACTTTGCCATCTTTCGCGATTGTTTGAATTGTTTTTAGTTTACCAGTTTTATAGTTTTTAGTCAATAGACTAGTACGTTATTTTTTAAAGAATTTATTGTGTGATCGGAATTTGCCTGCTAGCAAAATGTAAATGAATATGTACGTGTGTTTGAATATAAATTAGACCATATGGGCTTAGTAAAAAATTATTTTAATAACTACGTTTCGTAGTATAACTCCATCTTCAGGTTAAAAGTGAATAAAGATATAAAAACTGTGATAAAAACTTTCAAAACAATTACAAATTTTATAAGTGATTGTTCTTGAACAGTTGATGACGAAGACAATGACGAATACTTATGTCGTGATTTTTTTTGTCGGCTTCACTTTTTGCTCACTGTTATCATTCCAGATATATATATATATATATAGAGAGAGAGAGAGTTCACTGGTTTTGGTAGGTACAAAGTGCCAGTTGTACTAGCCAGGATGGCGTGATTGATGACGAATCGCTTGTAAAAACGCGGACAAATACTTGCTTGAGTTACGCTTCTGGTATACCCAGTGAACTAAAAATACCTGGAACGCTACCTCCAATAGGATTGGCTTATGATCGCATGAAACCAAATTTTACCTCCAGCCGCGCGTGTTCTACCTCCAGACACGCGCGTAGTGACTGAATGTTTTTTCTCGGACGAATGGATCAAAAATTGTCGTTTATTTAGGGTTTTAAGCTATATTTTTGTATTAAAAGTGTATTTAAAACATATCTTGAACCCTACCGACTAAAATTGCAAGGAAGAAAGTAACTGATTGGAGACAACAAGTGCATATTTGAATGACTGGAACGTTTATATGCAGATGAAACTTGAGAAAGATAAGTAATTCTTTATCTTAACGTATTAAACATATATTTATAACAACTTCATTGATTGTTAAACAAGATAAGTTAATTTAATCTGTATCTATCACTTTGTTTGCCTTCGTTGACGACTTGTTCTGTGTATTTCTTGCCGAATGTGAATAATCGCGACATGAAATGCTTGTCCGCGAAAAAAACTTTCTTAATGTCTTTAATGTTTATACTTGTTATTTTGTACCTTTAAAACTTAATAAATACTCTACTACAAAACATAATTAAACTGTGGTTGGTAGTTTGATCTTGTTAGAATACCTTTTTTGCTAACTTTCGGGCGAATAAATTGGAAAACGAATGAGCAAAATAGGGAAATTCGCACAAATACTTATGATTAGACCACGGCAAGCTCCACTCCTCGCTCAACGTTTTTTCTCAAAAAAGGAAATTTAATTATGAATTCTACACAAATAAATTAAAAATATTTTACTCTAGAGTTTTGAAGGATGTTTTTATTGTAAAAAATGTACTGGTAGGTGCATTTTACGTCGTTTTAAATCATGTTTTAGTGCATTTTTTACCCAGTTTTGGAAATTTAAAAAACCCGCGTTCATTTCCGTTACGTGAAAAGACTGGGCATGACAACAGTGGGCATGCCTGGGCATGGCTTCACATTTCCGGCTGGAGGTATCGTTCCAGTTATTTTTAGTTCAATGGGAAAATCTAATATTTTAAAACAAAAACTTCAAACTCAATTTATTTTATCCAAAACTTCGAGAGTGTTATAGTTATTGTATACTATAATTATAATAACACTGGGTATAAAATAGATTTGGATCTTGTATATTTTTATGGTTTCCACGAATGTTTGTGTTTTAGACAATAAGATGCGCTGATGAATCGAGGCTGCAAGATTACACTGTATTGGATAAAAATGTTTGATTATTTGATGTAAAAGTCTAGGAGTCAGGTCTTAATAAGTTCTCTAGTTTAAAGTCTAGGCTATACTCTGCTCTAGTGCTAAGTTCTTTTATACGACGTCCAAAAATAATGCAATATGATCGACTACAAACTGTATATTAAACTATAACATGATATTAAAGTGAAATTTCGTTCGTTTTATTTATTGTTGTTTAGTTCATGTTTGATAATGATAATAAAAAAGCTACCGACAACTTATTCAGATGAAACAACGTTAAAAACCGGGTGAAATGAAGTTAATTTCACAATTTTTAATATTTGTTTTTATTACAGCGTTGTTGCTATGCAGGTTGCTAAGACATAGAGCGATGTTAAGTTAAGATTGACTACCGCTGACCGTGTAGTGCAGGAAATTGCTTACCAGGCCCCGCATCACACGTCGATCAGCGAAATCACTGGCGTTGCGCCGCCCTATATATAAGCGCCCTGGTTTTTAACCATAAAGCCTTTGTTTTAATCTCTTCAAATTGAACTCAATTCATATATACATGCATACAGTGGATAATACATAACAACTCTTCTTCACAATCATTTATTTGAAGAAGTTTGTTTTAGCTGTCATCGTCGCGTTGCCGTCGTACGTGCAGCTTAAGGTCCCTATTAGCCAGAGGAGGAGTGAGGACTATACCGGCATGCAACGCGGTCAGGCGCGGTTTTTTACATATCGATTTCTCGCTCTGCGCCGTCATTGTTCGGTCGGCTTTCGCTGTGTTTACACTTCGAGGTTTCAAGAGTTCAGAAAAGATTTATCGAAAATAAATTGTAAAATGGTTGATTTTTGCACTACGCATGGAAAGAAAGCTTCGTTTTTGGGTGGACACGAGCTTCTGTGTGTTCACTGTGTGTCAAAACAGCCTTTAATCTTGATTCCGGAATAATTACCGTGTGATGAACTTGAATGTCGTGAGGTCATCTGATGCTTGATATATTCAATGGCAAAAGAGGCTATGTTACTGTGACCGGTCACACGGGGTCACATGGTCACACTAAACCAAATCTTATACAATAATTAGATTTCGATCTGCTCGCAAAAAATTCTGGTAAAATAGACATGCCACTATGCAGTATAATGCCACAATACCAGTGCGCGATGCTGACGATAGTATTATTAAAGATTTAAAGTTCCAAACAACAAGGGTATTCCTGCATGTTTGGAAGTCGGAAATTTAATATCGTATAAATATAAAGTAGGTAGTGTGAATAATATCCTTAAAAGCTGTCTCACTATTTAATATCGTATAATATAAAGTAGGTTGCTGATAAATCAAGGATACTCTGTGTTGTTACTGTGAACTTAAATAATGAATGAATTAGCCGCGTTTATACGATCTTCGCGACTTATTTAGGCCGCGGATTATTTTAACTCGTACTGAGAACTTATATAATTTAGTTATTCAAATAACTGATGTTCCGATTCTAGGTAAGTACCACGAGATGCCTGCGGAGGAGGCTATGATTAAGCGTACTTTGATGATTGCGATGCGACAGCCGATACGTAGTTTGTTGCCGAATTTTGAGTCGTTTATACGAATGCTTGCGACTAACACGTATCAGTAATTTTCAACAAGTAGGCTATAATTTTTAACAATACCGTATATAAACGCACTGTTCGCAACTTATTTTGGCCGCGGCCGGCATAATTTCGCTCGTATATAAAGCCCTAATGTTTCTTTGGAAATAACACTTGATTCTTTGTGTATATATTATTAGGCCTATTATACTGTAAATCAAGATGTTAGGTAAATATGTTAGGATGTTTGGCAACGAAAAATTACGATTATAGGCTACTATTGAATTTGTTTCAGTAATTTTCCGATTTTAAAACATAATTTGCGTGCTATATGTTGCTCCGAAGAATTAATTTTCAATTATATGCTCGTATAATTATTAATTATATTGTAAATTAAGATATTTTGTAACGAAAACTTGCGAACATACTTTTGAATTTTTGCTTGAGCAATTTGGTGATTTCGAAACATTGCGTCGCTATACTGCAGTTGTCTGTCTGCTCGGCATTCTTTATATTAATATTTTAATATTTCCTGACCTTTTTGCGTGTATTTCTCTACAACTGTATCCGTGTAAAAATGTATCATTGACATTGTCCATGCATGACATTGCAGCTTCGGATTCTCACCAGTTGATTAATTAAATTACCGGTTGATGCGCTTGATTGTGTTTTATTTGAAACAAGAATCATGCACTGATGCACATGTCTGCGAAATCAGTTTACTGAGTTTACTTGTCTTGTGAGTTGTGTGTTGAAGCGTACTTGAGTTGTCCAAACAAACCTGCCCATCTAGCAAATTTTTGGCAAATTCCTTAATATGGACTTTGACAGATTTAAGTATCCTTATCAGAATAAATCAGAGTAGGCGACGTTTTCCGGCATGCAGCATGCCCAAGCTGAAAATTGTATTTACCGACACCATGTATACTGGTTTGTTTTGGTGGCGAAGGATTTGGATTAACTTTTCCTTTGACGTGCTGTGCTGCTTTTACCTTGCATTTGCCCTTCGGAGTAATTAGAAATAGTTTATCCGATATAATTGATTATGAGAGAGTGTCCGAAACCGACCAATCTGCACAGTTGGTGCTCAATAACACGTTCGCCAGATTACAGATACATGATATACACGCGATGTCACAATGTTCTAAACGAGTAGCTTTTTCAGTGGAAAGTCTACGAGAAGAATGTTAAAAACCATGTTATTTAATATGAAAAATAAACGTATTACGTACGATACATGAATAAAATATATATACGCTTCGACACATGCAGGACTCAGGAGAGAGAACAACGTGTTCGAAAGTCATGTGATCACCGTCCAATCATATCTCTTAAAACGAAATACTTAATGTATGCAATAATATAAATGATTATCACTAATTTCAACAAAGAAGTAGACCAAGAAATAGATCAAGAGGCAATTGATTACAAATTGTTAAGTGATATATTGGAAGACTGCATTTCGGCACAAATCATTTTTTGCGCTGTACTTGCTAAATTCAGACTCACTTTGAACACTGTTTGTGCTTTTGCTAATATTGTTCCATCGTTATGTGTACTGCCTATAAAAATATGTGGGGAAGTTTTGAAGTTGTTGACATGAGAAAGGTGAACCTGCCGAATCTGGTCAATTGAAACCCCGTTCCCCCGATCCCCGGGACAACGCGGTTTTAATGCACCATTTACCCCGGGTACAGGGTAAATAACAAGTCAATTTAGTAGCCGGGACTATGTATTTGCACCGCCATACGGCACTGTCTTGATTGCAATTTGTCGTTAGTCCGTCACAATGACCCAGTAAAAGTCCAGTACCATCATCATATAATCACGGTACAAGTGAAGGAATTAAAGTGTCCTAAAAGTGTAGTCGTTGCAAAAACTTTTATGGTTATTCAAAGTATGGCAACCTGAAACTGGATGGAAATTGTATCCTTATCATAATATATTGTATCCTATATTATCATAAAGTCATAAGTTTTGATATCAATTTAAAAGTTGAGAAAAAACAAAGAATCAAACGGCGCGTTTATAACTTTAAAAAGGCCGACTGGCAAGGCCTCAAGGAGCTTCTGTCGAAAGTCCCTTGGGAAGCAGGCTTATACTTACTAATGATGTTGACTCATCCCTTTCAACTTGGTGTGACATGTTTCTTGCGGCTGTGGACAATTCCATCCCTAAATGCACCTCAAGAAATGTAAACAGGCACCCCTGGATCGATAAAGAACTATTAACAGGTTCTCAAAATGACTTGGATAAATTTAAAGATCTGCGTTGTGATACCAAACGCATGATAGCACAGAAAAAGAAAGGTCATTCATACAAAATGAAAGTAGCACTTGGTGAAAATCCTAAGCGATTTTGGTCATATGTAAAATCAATTACCAATCAGAAAAGTACCATTATTTTTTAACGAAACGGTCAATCTTTCATTACAAATAGCTACACCAAAGCTAACTTATTGAACAAGTACTTCCATTCTGTCTTTGCAGCTGAAAACGAATTAAATCCTCTCCACGTTTCTAGATCATGTATACCTCCAAACTATTTAAATAATATTCAACTATCAACATGTGAAGTAGCTAGTGTTCTCAAAAGACTAGATCCAAACAAGGCTAGCGGCCCCGATGGTATCCCAAATCGACTGCTAAAACATGTGGCCGATGAAATTGCGCCGTCGTTATGTTCTGTATTCAATTTGTCTCTTTCACTTGGTGTTTTTCCCACTAACTGGAAATTTGCAAACATTGCACCTGTTTTTAAGACTGACGATCCAACCCTTACTTCCAACTATAGACCAATCTCCTTGCTATGTTCTATTTCTAAAGTTTTGGAGAGATGTGTAAACACGCACTGCTATCCCTATCTCACATCCAATATTTATGACCTCCAACACGGATTTTTAAAAGGGAAATCAACAGTCTCGCAATTGCTACAAGTATATCACGATATTCTAACCAACCTCGCTTGAGGAAAAGAAACAGATGTGCTTTACCTCGACGTATCTACATGTAAGGCGTTCGATAGAGTATCCCATCGCCTCATATTGCTAAAGATAGAAAATTTAGGCATCTCTGGGCCGCTGTTACAATGGTTTAAAAGCTATCTAACAGGTAGATATCAACGAGTCGTGCTTGAGGGTGGTGCTTCGGATTGGTTGCCCGTAACATCCGGTGTTCCTCAGGGATCCATCCTTGGGCCTATCATGTTCCTTATATACATTGATGACCTCCCGTACTACACTCAAAACAGCTCTAAAATTGTCTTATATGCAGATGACTCAAAACTATATAAGACCCTAGGCTTAATTATAAACGGATTTGTAAAAACCTTACTGATCCTTCCACTAGAAAAGTTCTTTACTGTTCGCAAGCTGGAGTATGGTTCAAATTTGTGGTCTCCTTACACGAAGAAACATCGAAAATTGATTAAGAACGTGCAATGCCGAGCCACTAAGTTTATTTTAAATTATCCTGGTCACATGTCTTACACAGATCGGTTATGCCAATTATAGACATTCTCCAACTTGAATTTCGGCGCGAAATAAGTGATCTTACATTTTTATTCAAACGTATAAATGGTCTTGTCCTTATAGATGCTTCCCAGTATTACAATATATACTCGTATTCCTCGTACGTTACAATATAGTCCAGCGGAAAAGTAAAAAATCATGCACTTTGTGAAGAAAGCACCAAATTCACAGGAAGTGCAGACTTTAACATGATAATGAATCTTAGATATGGAGGCATCGCCAAAATTGATGCTGACGGCTTAAAATTTAGGATTTCTTATATTCTCTTATTAAACTCTATTACTGTTTAAATTGTGAAATTGCAGGTTCACATATAGCAAAAATGACTTACATGATTTGAAAGCTTACAAAAAACTACATCTAAGACTTTTAAACGGCTGATTGATTTTC